TTCTGCCAATGGTGTAATGTAAGTTCTCTGGGAGCCTAGGACACCTCTTGCTGAATGCTCTGCGTTTCCAGCTTTATAGATTAATGTAAGTTCCTTGTTTCCAATCTGTGGCAGCAGGCTTTGACGCCTGGGTTGTTTTCTCAAAAGAGGAACATGTGTAGAAGAATCATTAAACCATCATGGACAATTTAGGGTCAGGTTGTGTGTATATGTGTGGGGATAAATGAGGATGGGGACAGAAAAATGATGCCATATAATCAGGTAACTAGAAATTTTTCTGAATCACTATTGAACTTTTGGTATTTACTTTCCAAAAAAAAAAAAATTGAGTGACCAAAGGACACAAAGAACTATGAGGTTGGTGGTATATTAGGGAGTTTGTATTCCTCTGGTTTCATTAGATGACTAAAGTTTTGTGCTTTGCTATTCTTGCTGCTGACATTGTTGTATCCTTGCTGTCCCAAGAAAGGTGACTAATTCTCCGTTGGCTTTACCAAAGGAAACAGCGAGAACAGCATGACTCACAATTATAATCATCCCTTTTTCTTCATACAAGTAAATTGGCTTACGTGTGACTTGATAAAACATTTAATTGAGAAAAAGCCTTACTAATTGCATTCAATGAAGTGAAATGCCCCTTGAATAAGACCGTTTATTGGTTAAATAACATTATCTTCAAAGCTGTAAATCTGAAATCATCTATTCTTTGTTTAGATAAAATCATGTATCGTTTTTGCTTTATGCATATGTACATACATATAAAAATATACTATATACCTCAATGTATAAATGAAATTAGGGCAATTTATATTATTTTAATTAATCAGACAAATTAACTTTGGACATTCTTTTGTTTTACCTTTTTAATGATAACAATAATATTATGGAATTTTTCATGAAGTTATCTACAGTAGACAAGAGTCCAGCAGTTAGATTTCCTGATTATGATCAGAAAGAGATATAGACTCCATTTTATTGAGCAGGATTATTTCTGGAGCTTATTTAAAGGTACCTTTTGTAGTCCCTGTTCTACCTACAAAGATGATTACTAATGGTGTGGGAATAGAAGAGAGTTCCATTTGAAAATGCTGCTACCTCCTTCTCCAACAATAAATCAAGTCTTAGCTTTCCATTCCTGTGGTATTTTTAGTTCTCTTTGACACATTGTAGCTTTGAGAGACAGGAGTTGGTGGTTGAAAAATGAATGTGTTAGATGCCTTCTCTGTATGCTTCCTTCTGTGAAAATGTCCCATGATATTGTAATTGCTTGTGTGAATTTCCCCTTGATTATGAGGTCTTTGTGGAAAGATACCATGTCTTAATTGCTTTTGTGACTTTACTACCTGTAATAGGGGTCACAGAGGAAAAACTACATAAATGTTTGTTTATGGAAGGTACAAATATACTTAGTCCCATGATGCAACCACTGCATGCCTTAGAATATAAAAATTATTTGTGTAATTCCACTTTGCAATTGTCTTCAGAGAATGAATTCCTTCAGAATTTCCTTTAAGGTGGTAAAAATCTACTCTTTCAGGTTAAATTTAATTTTTGGTGTTAGTCCAAATAATTTGGAGCTAGATCTGAGTGAACAAAGTAGTTGCTCCTATTGCACAATCATTTTCAGTCTTAAATGAAGCACAACAAAATGGATTTGTGTTTCTTAGGTGTATCATGGACTCTAGACAGTTTCAAAAGAGGCATTCCAAAAATATTTTGATCACCAGTTGCATTGAAATTATAAGATAGTCTCCCAAATGAACAACAGTGAAGAACTACTCATTTTGTCGTGTGGACTTTGATGCCACAGTAGCCTTCTTTTCCATTTGTTTACTCCAATTTTGGTGCTGTCCATCCTTATGTCTTAGACCAAAGCTTCTAGACTTTGGTTTTTCCCTCTAAAACCTTCATTAGACTCTTATTAGCTACAGGATAGATTCCAGATGCTATAACTTGACATTTAAAACCATCTATTATTAGACCTCAGCCTCCATATCTAAACTTATGCTTATCTTTTCCCTCCATGAAGCCTACATACCAACCAAATGAAACTAGTCATTAGTCTCCCCTCAAGAGATGGTCTTTTCCACAGTGTGAAGTGTTCATCCAATTCATATCTTTAAACCCTCTTTCTCCCTCGACTCTTCACTTAAATGCTAGCCAGCTTGAATTCTCTCTTTTCTTTCACTTCCTATATTACGACATCTATAAATTTTATGACTCTTATAATTTCTACCTTGTTTTATGGCTTTTATATACAAGTCTTATATGCCCTACTTGATTCTAAACCATTTGAGCCCAGAAAACAAATCTCCTTGGGCATTGACTCTTCCATGCCTCTCAGCACACTGCATTGCATATAGCAGACCTTAATAAATATTTATTGGGGTTATGAGCACATAGGAACA